GGGTGCTGCTCTGCTGACGAAAAGGTCAGCAGTTTGCATTCACCAGCTGCTCCTGGGAAGAAAGACGAATGGTTTCCTCGGGTAAAGATTCACAGCCTGGAAACCTGATGGACAGTTGCTACAATTGGGGTCATCACGTGAATCTTCATGGGAGGAGACTTCCCGCTCTTCTCCAAAGGGGTGGATTGTGGATCCCAACCGCCAACCTGGTTTTGGACAGGAGCCTAACAGACACATTGCATGGTGCACCACCCAGGTTCCTATCTATATATTTGTTGTTGTTGTTGTTATGTGCCGTCGAGTCGCCTGCGACTCATAGCGACCCTATGTACAACAGCCCTAAACTCCTCTCTGTCCTGTGCCAATAGCACTGTCTCTGACACTCCCATCCCAATTATCCCAGTCACTGAATCAATCCACCTCATAGAGGGCCTTCCTCTCCTGCAGTGTCCCTCCACCCTCCCAAGCATGATGTCCCTCTCTAAGGACCGGTCTCTCTTCACAAGATGTCCAAAGTATGTTAGACGGAGCCTCAGAATCCTTGCCTCCAAGGTGCCACCCGGTTTAACCCTTTCCAGGACAAATCTGTTTGTTTTCCTAGCAGTCCATGGTATTCTCAATTTATGTGTATGTAAAATGCATCGCGATGGGAAAGTCTGCTGTTAGGGACCTCTCTAAAGTACTCAAGAGCAACGGTGTCTCTCTGGAGACTAAGGTCCGCCTGATACAGGCCATGGTCTTTGCAATCACTTGTTATGCATCAGAGGGTTGGACAATGACTAGGGAGGATAGAAGGAAAGTTGATGCCTTTGAGCTGTGGTGCTGGAGAAGAGTATTGAACGTACCCTGGACTGCCAGGAAAACAAACAGATTCATCCTGGAGAGGGTTAAACCAAGCTGCTCCTTGGAGGCAAGGATTCTGGGGCTTCGTCTGACATACTTTGGATGTGTTGTAAGGAGGGACAGGTCCTTGGAGAGGGACATCATGCTTCTGAGGGTGGAAGGACAGTGCAGGAGGGGAAGACCCTCTGTGAGGTGGATTGACTCAGTGACTGGGGTAATCGGGATGGGTGTGTCAGAGGCAATGCGATTGGCACAGGATAGAGCAGGGTTTAGGGCTGTTGTACATAGGGTCACTATGAGTCACAAACAACTCGATGGCACATAAAAACAACAACATGTAGATCTCACTCATCCACTTTGTATATCATTGCTATCTGGCCCATTTTGACTCAGAGCTGTCCTCCAGCACGTTTGTGAGGCTTTAAACCATAACGGGAAGAATATGCTCATCTTTCTTCCAAGCGGCTGTTGGTGGAGAGGTGATCAGCAGGGCGATCTGCTAGGCACAATGCCACCACCTGCTGCCCTGGAAGAAAATCTGCTGTCAGGGACTAGAAAGTTAAAGTGCCAAGAGCAAGGTTACCAGTCTCACAGTGAAAGTGCAGCTGACGTAAGGCACATAGTTGTTACATACACAGCTCAAATTTGGACAATGAGGAAGGAAGACCAAAGAAGAAATGATGTATTTGAATGTTAGCGTCACCGAAGAATATCAAATATACCATGAAAAAGAATACACCCACGATCCTCAGGGGAAGTGCAGCCAGGAGGAGGCTCCCTGAGGCAAGGATGAGGACGTGTCACCTCACATGTTTGGGGCATGCTGTCCGGAGTAGACGGTCCTCAGGAAAAAGACGTCATGCTGGGGAAAGTGGAGGAAGGGTCAGCGAAAGAGACGAAGACCCTCAAGACGGACTGACGTGGTGACTGCAATAATGGGCTTAATTAAGCATCATGGGGATGGCGTGGGGTAGGGCCAGGCACAGATGTGTTGTTCATAGGGTCGCTACGAGTCACAGTTGACATGACAGGACCTAAATAAGAACAGACATTATGTATGTATATATACCTTGGGCCTGGTTCAAATTGTTTTCCTGTCAAACATTCTTCTAGGTGGTATAGCACTGCTCTGTACATTGCTGTACAGAGGTAACTCGTGGTTGCTTTGATGCTAAACACTGTGACACTGATGTGCCAAATGTGATGATGGTTACCCACATGGCGGACAGCGTTTGGTGGAACTTTCCAATTAAAACAAGCCTGGAAACAGGAGTAGCATCCACTTCCAAAATGGCTTGCCTCTGGAAAACTCTGTGTATGAACAGTGCTTAGGCCTTTCATTCATAGGGTCACTATGAGTTGTCTAAGACTCGACAGCACCTAACAACAACAACAAACTGTGTGTATATATGTATATATACATATACACACACACACACACACACACACATCTGGAAGTCGGCTGGCTAACTGGCTGGACGGCTGGCATCTTGATGGCGGCTCCTGTTGGTGGCAGTAGTCAGGCAAGGGAAGTTTCTGGGGTCCTTTTCGTTGTGTGGTTGCTGTGAAGCCGAACACCATGACACTGATGAGTCAAATGTGAGAATGGTTACCCATGGTGGACAGTGTTTGGTGAAGCTCCCTGATGAAAACAAGCTTGGAAGCAGGAGTGGCGTCCACTTCCATAATAGCTTGCCTCTGGAAATCCTATGAACCTGGAGAAAGAACGAAAGCTATACAGGTGTCCAGGACTTTCATTCATGGGGTCGCTATGAGTCGCCTACAACTTGACAGCACTTAACAACAACAAATATATGTATCTCAGACTGCACATCAAATGGAGCTCTGCTGGCCTCCTGGTGAGAAGCTACATGGCAATCCTAAAGGCACATGGGCTGTTCAAATCCACCAGCTGCTCTGCGGGAGAAGGATGGGCGATCTCCTGTGCGATTAACTACCTCTGAAAACCTGCTGGAGGGTCAGCTGTGAGTCAGCTCTGAGTCGACGGTACATCAACAACAGATAATCCATAAATTCGCAGTGGAAATGGCCTCTCTTTTCCCCCCATTCAGTCCACTGCCTCTGTTATCCTTTTACTGACTTCCTCCCCAGGAAAACCTACAGTGTACTCTGGGGCCACATGCCACCAATGTGAGATGCAGCTGAGCAAACACTCCTGTCCGGCTGCTGCCAACATAACAGAAATGACACTGCATGTTTCTCAACTGGAGTTACACTAGGATACATCCGAGGTCCTACAGACAAAACAGTCTAGAAGAAAATCTATGCTTCTCTCGTGAAAAGCATCTCAAGGTCATCTGCTACAAGTCCAAGAGGTCAAGGAACAAGAGTCTGTACACTGAGCAGTGAAGCTGGGGCTTGCAAGAGCACTGAAACCTGAAAGCCCACAGAAAGCGAGAGGAAACCGTTTCCCTTCTCACAATTTTTTTTATTTTATAGCTTTTTTGTTTATTAATTTTCATGAACGTTTACAGAGACTTTAGATTTCCATTCCTTCATTGTTGCCAACCTCCCCCAAGTTCCGTCTTAAAAGTAAAATTATCTTGTTATATAATCCCTCCACCCAAGTCCACTCCACTCTGCAGCCTTCTTTAAAGCTTGTTTGTTTGTTTGTTTGTTTGTTTGTTTTGTTTTAGGGTGGTTTTTTCCCCCTTTTAAAAAATTATTATTTAAGGAGCCCTTGTGGTGTGGCTGCTGAAGAATTTGGCTGCTGGCCAAAAGATCAGTAGTTCAAACTCCCCAGCCTCTTTGAGGGAGAGAGAAGAGGCAGTCTGCTTCTGTAAAGATTTACAGAATCTGAAGGCTGCCCCAGTCTGTCCTCAGGGTCTCCGTGAGTCAGAATGGACACCATGGCAGTGGGTTTTATTCTCATGTTTTGCCTTCATCTTGCTTCCTACATAGAAAAGGGCAGGCTCCCTGAAACCTGAAGAGAGGTAACCCATCAACTTCCAGGCGCTATAACAAGGTGGCTAGGATGACTTTTGTGTCTGCTTCCCATTACAGGTCACTGTTGCCATTAGGTGTCATCGAGTTGAGTGTGACTCAGAGTGAACCTTTGTACAACAGATCTGAACCCTGTGCCCTTTTCACAAACTCTGACACACTCAAGCCCATTGCGACAGTCACTGTGTCAATCTACCACTGTCTGAGGGTCTTCCTCTCCTTCACCAACCATCCATCTTCCCAAGCACGATGCCCCTTTTCCAAGGAATAACCTCTCCTGTTGTGTTGTTGTTGTTATGTGTCGTTGAGTTGCCTGCGACCCTATGTACAACAGACCTAAGCCATGCTCTATCCTGTGCCAATCTTATTGTCTTTGACACACCCACTCCCATTACCCCAGTCACTGAATCAATCCATCTCATCGAGGGTCTTCCTCTCTTGTGCTATCCCTTCACCCTCCCAAGTATGACGTCCCGCTCCAAGGACTGGACCTTCCTTGCAACATGTCCAAAATAGGTCAGATGAAGCTTCAGAATCCTTGCCTCCAAGTAGCAGCCTGGTCTCATCCTTTCTAAGGTGAACCTGTTTGTTCTCCTGGCAGTTCATTGTATATTCAATCTTCTTCTCTAGCACCACAACTCAAAGACATCAATTCTCCTTCTATCATCACTAGTCATTGTCCAGCTTTTTGATGCCTAGCAAGTAATTGCAACGATTTTGGCCTGGATCAGGTGCACCTTAGTCTCCAGACTAACATCGTTGCTCTTCAGTACTTTGGAGAGGTCTCTGACAGCAGACTTTCCCTATGCAATTAGTCTTTTGGAAATGAAGCTTCATCATCTTTGCCTCCAAGAAGCATCAGGCTGCACCTTCTCCAAGATATATCTGTTTGCTCTTTTGGCTGTCCATGGGCTGTTCAGTGCTCTTCCCTAACACCACAGTTCAAAGGCATCAGTTCTTTTGTATTATATTATATTATATTATATTATATTATATTATATTATATTATATTATATTATATTATATTATAATTATATCCGGCTCTCAGATACACAGCAAGTGACTGACAAGACCCTGGCCTGAACCAGGTACACCCTCTTCCTCAATCTGACATCGTTGTACCTTGAAAATGTCGAGAGGTTTCGCTTCTGAGTAAGTGCTGTAACTTTTACCTCCACTCTGCTCTCTGACAGGCGGTCAAATACGTGAGCGGTAGTCAGCACTTGGGAGGAACTGCAGAGTGTCCGGGCAACTTCCAGCTGGACATTGACATTTCAGGCTTGATATTCACTCACCACCCGTGTTTTAGCAGAGAGCATGTTCTGGCTTCCAAGCTGGCTCAGTTATACGACCAGTACCTTGCAAGACGTCAGAGAAACAAGGCCAAGTTTCTGAACGATAAGGTGAGCATGATCTCTTCTGCCTTTTTAAAAAAAAAAATATTTTATATTGGCTTGTGTACAAAATGTGTATACACTGTGTTTCATTTATATACATTGTGTTTCACACATTCCTCTATCACACTGTTTCATACATTCACATGTGTTTTATAAAATAGTTAGAAAACAACATCCTACCTGGCTGTGAAAGGGAAGACGGTGCACATTTAATGTGGGTGTGAATTCAAGGGCACATCCTTGATTCAAAGGGGCCAATCTGTGCCAACAGCACAAGAGATCTCGCCCACCAGAGCTGGGTAGGAAACGAAGTCATGAGCCTCTGTCGTCTCAGCGCCTGGACACCATCCTCCAGAATCACTTTGTTCTCGTCTTCACGTGGGGCGGGGTCCTAAACACAAGTCGACTCCTCGCCTGACTGTCAGTCACATAATGAGTATCCCTGCCGGGAGTATTTCAAACCTGATGTCTCTCACGAGACAATTAGTCAAGGATATCTCACTACAGGCAATTTTCACCCTACACCCTGACTTGACATCTTTGCTGCCCGCATAAACTGTCACCACACAGCATCCCTTTCTCTGTGTCCACACGTCTGCATCGTCCTTGCACCCCAAGCCCAACCCACCGCATATCCAGAACACAGGGAGACCCCCATTGCCTGGAAAGAAAACTCGCTCCTGAGATGCACACCCCAAAGTTCTGTTTGTCCTGAACCCTTTGGTTAACTGGATCTCAGCAACCAGGGGGACATACACTTGTCTTTATAATCGAACAATTTCCTATCGAGGTTCATTGTGTAGAAAACCCAGAGGTAGCTGGGTGAGTCAGAGAGGGATCCAGTCACTTTGCCAGCAAGACAGAGCAGAGCGCTAAGACTTGTGCTAAAAACATATTTCTATGGGAAAGATCTGGTGTGAAAACCAATGTATACAAACTTTGTAAGTAATCCAGTGTAAAATATAAAACTTATCCAAAAAAACCCAAACACACACACGTTTCTCTGTCCTTCTAAAGCTCCAAGCTCTCAGAAATGCTGTTGAGATCAACCTTCAACCAGCAAAACCTCCCGAGTCCCTCGATGCCACCCACAAGGCCATCAGTGACTATAAATCTGAAATTCGGTGAGTAGAGTTGACAGTTGGAACCCCCACACTGAGTTTCTTTTTTTGTTCCTTTGCGGTTTTCTGTCTTGTTTTGTTTTACTTGTCCATGAGATGTGTGCTTGTTTCAAGTTTCTTTCTCAGATAGTTTTATTCCAAACAAGCTGAATACGTGTGAAACGATGCTATGGGAGACAATGAAACAGCTGACACATGGCACAGAATTAAAACACAATCATAGGCGAGGGTCTGAGAGCTGGCGATGCTCATATTTTACTGGGGTAAACAAAGGTTCTGGCCAACACTGCAGAGAGCGCCTTCCTCACAGGCAAACAGCAAGATGAAGGTGCCCACAAGCCTGGGGCTGGCACTGTGGCTTCAAGGAAGATGAATCCGTCGAGGAGCTACACGTACTAATGCACACAGAAACACGTGTGATGTGCTTCATAGCGTCACTTAACAGAAGTAAGAAATTAGAAATAATCTAACAACAGAATGACTACATCTGTGTAGGCCTTGGCAATGAACACCCTTGTTGCTGTCATTATGTGCCATCGAGTTACCTGTAACTCACAGTGACCCTATATACAACAGCTCTGAACCCTGCCCTGTCCTGAGACAGTCTCACTGACTCCAACACACCAACCTCCATTGCCTTAATTGCTATATAAATTCATCTCATCTGGGGTCTTTCTCTCCTGCACTGTCCCTCCACCCTTCCAAGTATGATGTCCTTCCCCAAGGACTGGTCCTTCTTGGCCACGTGCCCAAAGTATGAGAGACAGAGCTTCAAAATCTTTGCTTCCAAGAGGAAACTTGGTTTTACCCTCTCTAAGACAGACCTATTTGTTCTCCTGCTGGTCCACGGTATGTTCAATATTCATCTCCAGCACCACAGCTCAAAGGCATCAATTCTTCTTCTGTCATCCTTCTTCGTTCATTGTCCAGCTCTCTGATACCTAGCACGTAATTGCAGAGATCATGGCCTGGATCAGGCACACGCTCATCACTAGACTGGCATCATTGCTCCTCAGTACTGAGAGGTCTCTAACAGCAAACTTTCCCAGTGTAATTTGGTTTTTTATTTCCCGGCTGCTGGTACCAAGAGTGCTGATTGTGAAGCCAAGCAAGCTGAAGCTGTTAACCTCAATCTCTGGAGGACTTCATGGTGGTAGAGCGGACAGTCAGTGAAAAGGAAGAAAATCTTCAGCGACAGGGACTGACCAAGTGGTCACAACAGTTCAAACACAGCGGGGACTGAGGGTGGTGCAGGGTCAGGCAGCGTTTCCTTCTGTTGTCCACGGGGCCATTGTGAGTCAGAAGTGACCAGACAACAAACAACAACCAGTGTCACCTCGCTCGCTAACCACTGGCATCATGCGGACCTGCCACGGCCTGTGTGCTCTCCTGGGCTCAGGCATTTGTGTTACCTGAAGGTTCATTATCCAAACCACACCGTATTTAAATTCTTGTGCACGCATAACCTTGTGTACCTATCTGAGTATTTACACGGCATGAACTCCTAGAATGGGCACTGGTGAATCAAGGAACATAAATATTTACTCTTCTTTCTATATCTAGCCATGCGCAGAAAACTCTTCAAACAAAGTGAAAACTCGTGATACGGGCATGTTGTTGTTAAGTGCCGCTGAGGTGAGTACAGCTCATAGCGATTCCATGAACAACGGATCTGAACTCTGCCCTACCCTGTGCCGTCATCACCTCCAACACGTTTGAGTCCATTGTCAAAGACGCTGTACCAATTCATCCCATGGAGGATTTCCTTCTGCGCTGACCCTCCACCTTTTTCCAAGCATGATGTCCCTTTCCAAGCAGTAGCCTCTCCTAACAACATACCCAAAATATGTGAGATGAAGCTTCACCATCCCTTCCTCCAAAGAGCACTCTGGCTGCACTTTTCCAAGGCCTATCTGTTTGGTTTTTGGCAAGCAAGTCTCCCTCCTTGCAGCATTCAGCTGCTCTGTCTACAAAACTGTTTTTTTGGCAGTGTGATGGAAAAGTCTGTTAGGGACCTTGCTAAAGTACTCAAGAGCAATGGTGTCTCTCTGGAGACTAAGGTGCACCTGATACAGGCCATGGTCTTTGCAATCACTTGTGATGCATCAGAGAGTTGGACAATGACTAGGGAGGATAGAAGGAGAATTGATGTCTTTGAGCTGTGGTGCTGGAGAAGAGTATTGAATGTACCATGGACTGCCAAGAAAACAAACAGATTCATCCTGGAGAGGGTTAAACCAGGCCACTCATTGGAGGCAAGAATTCTGGGGCTTCGTCTGACATACTTTGGACATGTTGTAAGGAAAAACAAGTCCTTGGAGAGGGACATCATGCTTGGTAGGGTGGAAGGACAGTGCAGGAGGGGAAGACCCTCTATGAGGTGGATTGATTCAGTGACTGGGGTAATCAGGATGGGTGTGTCAGAGGCAGTGAGATTGGCACAGGATAGAGCAGGGGTTGGGGCTGTTGTACATAGGGTCGCTATGAGTTGCAAACAACTCGATGGCACACAACAACAACATGGAATATTCAATACTCTAACACCACAAGTCAAATGCATCAATTCTTCTCCTGTTATTCATATCAGCTGTCCAGCTCTCAGATGCGTAGCATGTCACTGGAAAGACTGTGGTTTGAATCAAGAGCACCTTTTCCCTCAAACTGACATCATTGCTCCTCAATAATGTTGTGAGGTTCCTTCCTGACTGCAGACTTTCCCAGTGCAGTACATCTCCTGATCTCCTAACTGCTGGTACCAAGGGTGATGACTAAAGATCCAATCAAGATGAAATGGTCAACAATTTCAATCTTTTCTCCACCTATCATGATGTTGCCTAAAGTCCCAGTGGTGAGGAATTTTATTTTCTTGCTGTTGAGACGTAATCTGTATTGAAGGCCACATTCCTTGATCCTCTGCAGGAAGTGCCTCAGGTCCTCCTAGCTTTCAGCGAGCAAAGTTGAGTCATCTGCGTAACACAAGTTGTTGAGTCTTTCTCCAGTCCTGAGGCCACACGCTTCTCATCTAGCCCATGATGACCTACTCCAATGATTCGCTCTAAGGCTCTAACGATGATTACAATGATCTGATGATCTCTGATGTTCTCTAATGAGCTTCTCAGCATCCAGACTGAGTACTGGCAAAACCAAAAAGGTCTGTTGCTGATCAGGACAGCTCCACACGTTCCCAGGTTTAGAGTCACTTAGACCAGGAGGACTTTCCTCGCTGGGACTCTTGATTTTTACAACTTCACATGCTGCCCTTTGCTTAAGGATACAAACCTTTCATCCAAGTGTCAAGAAATAAGTTTAATTAAACTAAGGGATAATCGGGATGGGAGTGACAGAGATAGTACGATTGGCACAGGACAGAGCAGAGTTTAGGGCTGTTGTACGTAGGGTCGCTATGAGTTGCAAGAGACTTGACGGCACATAACAACAACAACAACAACAAGGGACACTTGCAATGGACCTTAAATCTATACTCGGACCAGGAAGCAGTCCTCAGAACAGAGCAAGGAAACACTGCATGGTTCAAAATCACGAAAGGAGTGCATCAGGGATGTAACCTGTCTCCATACCTTTTCAATCTATATGCAGAACAAATCATCCAGGAGGCTGGTCTTTATGAAGAGGAGTGTGGCATCAGGATTAGTGGTAGACTCATCAACAACCTGCGATATGCAGATGGCACAACCTTGCTTGCTGAAACTGAGGAGGACCTGAAGCGTTTGGTGCAGAAAGCCAAGGACTGTAGTCTTCTATATGGATTGAAGTTTAACATCAAGAAGATAATGATTCTCACCATTAGGTCAATTGGCAGCACCATGATAGATGGAGAAGAGATTGAGGTTGTTAACACTTAGAGCTTGCTTGGCTCCATAATCAACAATCTTGGCACCAGCAATCAGGAAGTCAAAAGACAACTTTCATTGGAAAAATCTGCAGTCAGGGAACTTTCCAGAATACTGAGAAGCAACTATGTCAGCCTAGAGATTAAAGTGCACCTGAGCCAGGCATGATCTTCACAATTACTTGCTATGCATCAGAGAGCTGGACAATAACTAAGGATGACAGAAGAAGAATTAATGCCTTTGAGTTGTGGTGCTAGAGAAGAGTATTGAACATACCATGGACTGCCAAGAGAACAAACAGGTAGGCCTGTCTTGGAGAGGGTGAAACCAAGTTTCTCTTTGGAGACTAAGATTTTGAAGCTCCATCTCACATACATTGGGTACGTGATCAAGAGGAATTGGTCCTTGGAAAAGGACATCATGCTCAAAAGAGTGTGCAGGCAAGGAAGACCCCATATGAGATGTATTGATACAATGACTAGGGCAATGGGGGTAGGTGTGTTAGAATCAATGAGACTGGTTCAGTTCAGGGCAGACTTCAGAGCTGCTGCACATAGGGTCGCTATTGGTCACGGCAGCTCGATGGCACATAACAACAAGGGTCACTTAGAACAATATCAGGTAAACGTCTCTAAAGAAATAAAGAGTTTCACTTGTCTTCCTATTTGCCTGAGGATGTGGTAGTCTCGCATTTGCTTGGAAATATTGGAGTTGCCAAACTGAAAAACTGAATTCACTGTCTTTGTTAACGGTATCTGTTTCTTTTTATTTGCAATGACCAGTCCCCACAGAGCTGACTCTGACCCATAGTAACCCTACATGTGTCTGTGCTCCAGGGGCTGCATTCAGGGGAGCAGAGCAACAAGACTTCCTTATTAGGAGTGTCTGGGTGGCCTTGAACCTCCACCCTCAGCAGCCAAGCATGTTCACTGTGTGTACCAACTAGTGCTTTAGTTGTTTTTTGTTGTTTCATTTTGGTTTTGTTTGGAGGTTTTGTTTTGGGTTGTTTTTTTGTTTGTTTGTTTTTGCTTATTTGTAACAAACACACCCAAATAACTTTATTCTGTACTCGTGTGTTCCATCTGCAGGCTAACAAGAAAACTCCGTGATGCAGAACAAGAGAAAGACCGAGCCTTGCTTAAGACCATCATAAAGGTTTGGAAAGAGGTGAAATCCCTCCGAGAGTTCCAGAGGTTTACAAACACACCTTTGAAACTTGTTTTGAGAAGGTACAACTTTATAATTGGATTCGTTTTAGAGGCTCGGTTATACATTGTTGTTGCTGTTGTTGTAATGTGCCATCGAGTCGCTTATGACTCATAACGACCCTATGTACAACAGCCCTAAACTCTGCTCTGTGCCAATCGCACTGTCTCCGACACTCCCATCCCGATTAGATTACCCCAAAAGATGGGTGAAGTTTAAAGGATAACTATGAAAGAGAAATAACTAAGTAACCAAATGCCAGGTCAAGAAAGAAACTGTTTCCAGTACGTAGAAGATGCACACATATCCCCAAATGTTCTTATAATCCCTCTCTATCCCAGAAGTAACAACTCTCCAGACTTCTGGCATTCTTGCTTTTAATGTGTAGTTTTATCTAAGTATAATCCCTTAGGATGTATATTTAGGCACTGGCGCTATACTGGTGAGCATAGCTCCCTTCCAAGAATATATGTGTAATGTGTGCTGCTCTATTTTTCAGCGAACACACATTTGCTTCTATTGTTCAATATAATATTTGGAGATGCCTCTATTTTACAGCACAATGTGGTTGTGGTTGTTGTTGTTAGCTGGTATGGCCTTGGTTGCCAACTTAAGGCAACCCCATGTACAAGGGGACTGGACTCTGTAATCCGAAGTTTCACTGGCTGGTTGCTCCTGCTGTTATGTGCCATTGAGTAAGTTCCAGTTCAGCGTGGTCCTGTGTGGAACAGAACCAACACCTACCCAATCCTAAAACAGCCTCACAATGCCTGATGTGTCATCGCTCTTTTTTCACATGACTGTGCTAATCCATGCCACCGAAGGTCTTCTCTTTCACTGATCCTCTATTTCTCCAAGTACGCTGTCTCTCATCGAGTCCTTTTTTTTATTTTTCAATAAAAGCCTTCATTTATTCAACACATATCTGGTGAGGGTCTATATTAAAGTCCATTTAAATAAAATACGTTTAGCAGTCTTCTTAAAAGAATTTAAACAGAGCAGGAGACAGAGAAACCAAGACTCCAGTGAGCTCATTCTTACTTTGTGGCATTTAAATTGTTATTCCCCCTTAAAAAAAAAAAAAAAAAGACATGAATTGTGGTGAGGTACCCCACTGGGTCTCTGGGTTGGTAGCCAGGCAGACAAGGTGGGACTGGGATGGGGACTCCCAGAGCTGACTTTCTTGACATCAGTGTCTATTTTCTTATGTGTAAAGTACAAGAGAAGGAGTCTCCTCATATTTGCTTCTAAGAGGCATTCTGGCTACACTGGCTTCAAGACATATTTGTTTGTTCTTCTGTCAGTCCATGGCCATGACTGATAACAGTAATTTATTTTTTTACATTATAATAGGAACCCTAGTAGCAAAATGGAACCAGTGTGCTCAGGAGCCAAACAAATGGTCAGTAATTCAAACTCAACAGCGTGTGGCCAGGCCCCGATGGCCATTCAACTCCTGAAATAGTTCACTGCACATCAATATATGAAGGGCTCTGAAAAGATGTTGTTTTTGTTGTTGTTGCATTGTTGTGGTGTGCGATCAAGTTGACTATGACTCAGAGTGACCCTCTGAACTCTGCCCTATCCTGAGCCAACCACATTTTTCTCTGACACACCTGAACCCACTGCCACAGTCACCTTATCAATCCATCTCACCATGGCATTTCATCCAAGGTCTTCCGCTTCTGTTCTCTGACCTTCTACTCTTCCAAGCATGATGTCCATCTCCAAGGGCTCCTTCTTGGAGCATGTCCTCCTGGTGACATGCCCAAGTATGTGCAATGGAGCGTCAAAATTCTTCCTTCTAGGGGAGCTCTGGTGGCCTAGTGGTAAGGAGCTGCAACTACAATCCCAGAGGCGCACGGTTCTAATCCACCAGGTGCTCTGCCGAGGAAGGAGGGACAATCTCCTCCTGTACCAGTCAGATCTGATTTGACGGTACACGCACACAAAAATAATAATAAAAAAAATTCTTCCTTCTTAAGAACAGCCTGGTTTCACCCTCTCTAGGACAGACCTGTTTGTTCTCTTGGCAGTCCTTGGTATGTTCAGTACTCATCTCTAGCACCACAACTCAAAGGCATCTACTTTTCTTCTGTCATCCTTGGTCATTATTTTTTGTTAGGTGATTACAACTCAAAATGGTTGTATAAACAAAAGATCAAAACCTCTTCTGTCTTTGCCCATCTTCACAATCTCTGCCACGCTCAAGCCCACTTCTCATTGTTGAATATATGTGCCTCCCAAAAGAAGACCTTTTCAAAAACCAAACAGGATTCACGGAGTCAGTTCTGACTTACAGCACACTCTGCTGGCTCTACAAGGCTGTCCATCCACTACAAGGCTGTCCGTCCACTACAAGGCTGTCCATTTTACCAGCAGGAGACTGGCCGTCTTTTTTCCTGTGGAGAAACTGATGTGTTGGAGCTATCAGACTTCTGGTGAACAGCGCAATACTTAACCCACAGTCTACACCAGCAGGGCTTCCTAACGCTCGCTCGTTTCCAGCTGACTTCACTCCAGGCCACCTCCCAGGAGCAATGGCTGAACAGGACATACTGTGGAAAGCTCTGGTGTGGCTGACTTCCCAGTGCAGTGTAGACAAAGTCATGAGAGGAAAGCTCAGCCAGTCAGTTCAAGCCACAAAAGTGACGTCAGGGACCCAGCAGCAACTTAGAGAAGCAGCCCCTTAACCCCTGGGAGATTGTCTATCGTAACGGCAATGGCATTTGTACCGCTACTGGTTGAGAGTTGAAGGGCACCATGTCAGCAGGCGTTAGGTTTTGTTCAATTCACAGTGGCATTGTGGCTTCTTACTAGGTTGGGTCCAGAGGTGAGCTCACTCTGCATCTGCTTGTTTGTGGAAAATAACACTGTGCCTCATTCCCTTCAGCTGGACAGTGTGGGCCTGGAACACCCTCTGTGCTGCAGAAGTGTGAGGATTAAATGACTTCATGTATGCAGCGCTCGTCAAAGAGTACCTGCATGCAGGGAGAAGAGCTAATAACCCAATGGCAGGACCTCTCTGATAGTTCAGACCCACTAGCAGCTCTGCTGGAGAAGGATGAAAAATCTCTGCCAGGGCCATTTACAGCCTCAAAAACCTAACTGAGAGGCAGAAATGAGTTGGTTCCAACTTGACAACAGTGAGCTGGGTGTTGTTTTTTTGATTTGGTATTATTTTAAAGAATACCAAAATAAACACAGACGTACCTTGAAAATATTGTGGATTCCGTTCAAGACTACTGCATTGGAGTTGATATTACAATAATTTGTGTTCCCAGTTCCATGTACTGCCCCATCAGGGAACCGAACCCTGGTCTCCCCTGACATAGGCAGGGATACTCACCACTATACTAATAAGGATGGTGGTGCATGTAAAAGTTATGTTAAACTATACTAGAGTCTTTAAACACTTGCTGCAGATGATCTAAGACTACACCCTTCAATACAGATTGTGTGTCAACATCAAGAATTAAAAAAATCTGCACTAAAACCAAGGACTAGAAAATGTATTAGAGAAAATCTGGGAAGAACTCTAGAAGCCCTACTACACAACAAAAACAGTCTTCCAAGTATCCTGAAAAACCTACAATCAGGAGAGGGTAAAAATAGATGAATGGAACCTTCTAAGATTAAAATCCCTATGCACATCTAAAAACTTTTTAAAAATGGTAAAAAGGGAAGCCACAGACTAGGAAAAAAATGTTTGGTAATGACATGGCACAGATGTCTATCTGTGTTTCATTGATTATGCAAAGGCGTTTGACTGTGTGGATCATAACAAACTGTGGCTGACTCTGAGAAAAATGGGAATCCCAGAACACTTGATCATTCTAATGCGAAATCTATACTTGGACCAAGAAGCAGTCATCAGAACAGAGCAAGGAAACACTGTATGGTTCAAATTAGGGAAAGGCGTATGCCAGGGATGTGTCCTGTCTCCATACCTTTTCAACCTGTACGCAGAAGAGATTATCCAAGAGGCTGGGCTCTTTGAGGAGAATTGTGATGTCAGCATTGGTGGAAGATCTATTAACAATCTGCGATATGCAGATGGCACAACCATGCTTGCTGAAACTGAGGAGGACCTGAAACGCTTGTGGAGGGTCAAGAACTGCAGCCTTCAGTATGGATTGAGGCTCAATGTCAAGAAGACAAAGATTCTCACCACTGGGCCAATTGGCAGCATCAGAATGGATGGGGAAGAGATTGAAATTATTCACAACTTTAGTCGGCTTGGCTCCACGGTCAACACTCTTGGCACCAGTAGCCAGGAAATCAAAAAACTTATTACAATGGGAGTCTGCTGTTAGGGACCTCTCCAGAGTACTGAAGAGCAATGGTGTCTCTCTGGAGACTAAGGTGCGTTTGATATAGGCCATGGTCTTTACTATCACTTGTTACATCAGAGAGTTGGACAATGACTAGGGAGGATAGAAGGAAAATTGATGCCTTTGAGCCGTGGTGTTGGAGAAGAGTATTGAATATCATGAACTGCTAAGAAACTTAACAGGTTCTTCGTGGAGAGGATTAAACCAGGCTGCTCCTTGGAGGCAAGGATTCTGGGGCTTTGTCTGACATACTTTGGATATGTTGCCAGGAGGGACGGGTCCTTGGAGAGGAACATCATGCTTGGGAGGGTGGAGGGACAGCGCAGGAGGGGAAGACCCTCTATGAGGTGGATTGATTCAGTGACTGGAGTAATCGGGATGGGTGTGTCAGAGGCAGTGAGATTGGCACAGGATAGAGCAGGGTTTAGGGCTGTTGTACATAGGGTCACTATGGGTCGCAAGTGACTCAACGGCACATAACAACAACAATGACATAGCTGATGAGACTTATATCTAGAATTTATAAAATACTCAAGCACCACAACAAGATGAAGGTAAACAACCCAATTGAAAACTGGGCACAGGATATGAACAAACACTCCACCAAAAAAAGCCATTCAGATGGGCAACAAGCACATGAAGAAATTCTCAAAATCCCCAGCTCTAAGAGGGGTGCAATCAATACAACTATGAGATATCATCTCACCCCAGTAAGAATAGCAAAATTTAACACAACAGCAAACAAAAAATGCTGGCGAGGTTGCGAAGAAAATGGAACCCTTATTCACAGTTGGCGGGAGTGTAAAATGGTGTAACTACTATGGAAGGCAGTATGGCGCTTTCTCAAAAAGTTGCAAATAGAAATACCAGTTGACCCAGCAATTTCACTACTGGGAATATAACCTAAAGAAACCATAACCACCACCCAAGCAGATATATGCACACCCATGTATATTGCAGCTTTGTTCATAAAAGCAAAGAGTTGGAAACAACTGAAGTGCCCACCAATGAACAAATGGCTAAAGAAGCTCTGGTATATTCACACAATGGAATACTACGCTGCATTAAAAAAAAGAACTAATGAAATATTATTCAAAATGGGTGACCCTGGAGGACATTATGCTGAGTGAAATATCTCAGTCACAAAATGACAAATACTGCATAGGGCCACTGTTGTAAAGCAAGACTGATATCAGGGTTGGGGGTAAACTAAGAGGATATATAATGTACACTGCAGTGAAAAGATGAGAACTGTTTAGGAGGAATATATGATTAGGTGTTATTGTCATGACAGGAGTCCAGAATGAAAGCTGCATAGTGGAGTGGACTTGTGGGGGAGGGATTGTATAACAATGAAAGATTTTTTTTTTTATTTTTTACTTTTCAAAGAGAAAAGCAAACTTGTGGGGGAAGGGTGGGCACGGAGGAATGTGTACAACAACGAATGAATGGAAATCCAAAGTCTCTGTAAATTTTCATTAAAATTTTAAAAAAAAAAGAGAAGCCAGTCTTTGGAAAAGGGTATCATGCTTGGAAAGATGGAAGGTCAGCAAAACACAGGAAGAGTCTCAATAAGATCGAATGATACAGTGACTATAACAACCGAGCTTAAGTAATCACAGGTGATGAGGATGACACAGGATGGAGCAGAGCTCAGATCCACCGTTCATCAGGTCGCTGTCAGAGTGGACTCAGTGACACCTAATAACAACAACAGCAACAATATATAACAATCTTTTAAAGGTACATGTTGTTGTTGTTACGTGACATTGAATCATATGTAACTCATAGCGACCCTATGTACAACAGCTCTGAAGCCTGCCCTGTCCTGAGCCAGTCTCATTGACTCCAACACACCAACCCCCATTACCCAAGTTACTCTGTCAATCCATTTTCTCCAGGGTCTTCTTCTCTTGTATTGTCCCACCACCCTTCCAAGCATGATGTCCTTCTCTAAGGACTGGTCTATCCTGGCCATGTGTCCAAAGTATGTAAAATGGAACCTCAAAATTCATGCTTCCAAGGAGAAACTTGGTTTCACCCTCTCCAAGACAGACCTGTTTGTTCTCTTGGCAGTCCATATATGGTTCAATACCTTCTTCAGCACCACAACTCGAAAGTATCAATTCTTCTGTCATCCTTAGTCACTGTCCATCTCTCTGATGCATAGCAAGTAATTGGGAAGAATATGGCCTGGGTTAGGCACATCTTAATCTTTAGAGTGACATCACTGCTTTTTAGCACCCTGGAGATGTCCCTCACAAAGATTTCCCTAGTGCAGTTCATCTTCTGATGTCATGACTGCTGGTGTTGAATCCAAGAATGTTGATTGTGGAGCCAAGCAAGCTGTAACTGTTAACAACCTCAATCTCTTCTCCATCTATCATGGTGCTGCCAGTGGTCTAGAATGTGACACACAGACATGAGGTTAGCACATGCTGGTGGAAAAAATGACAATAAATATGTGTTCGATGCAAGATTGTTACGTTCAATCTATAGATGTGCATAATATGTGAATCACAAATAAGGGCCAATAGGCAGCATCAGGATGGATGGTGAAGAGACTGAGATTGTTTGCAGCTTTAGTTTGCTTGGCTCCACAATCAACACTCTTGGCACCAGCAGCCAAGAAATTAAAAGACATAATGCCATGGGAAAGTCTGTTAGGGACCTCTCCAAAGTACTGAAGAGCAATGGTGTCACTCTGGAGACTAAAAAGTGTGTGCCTGACACAGGCCATGGTCTTTGCAATCACTTGATATGTGTCAGAGAGTTGGACAATGACTAGGAAAGATCGAAGGAGAATTGATGCCTTTGAGCCGTGGTGTTGGAGAAGAGTATTGAATATCATGAACTGCTAAGAAACTTAACAGGTTCTTCGTGGAGAGGATTAAACCAGGCTGCTCCTTGGAGGCAAGGATTCTGAGGCTCCGTCTGACATACTTTGGACATGTTGTAAGGAGGGACCAGTCCTGGGAGAGGGACATCATGCTTGGGAGGGTGGAGGGACGGCTCAGGAGAGGAAGACCCTTTATGAGGTAGATTGATTTGGTGACTGGGGGGTGGGGGTGTTGAAGACAGTGATAGAGCGGGGTATAGGGCTGTTGTACATAGGGTCACTATGAGTCACAGACAACTCAACAGCACATAACAACAATAAATGAACTGAGTCTATATTTGCTATTACTATTATTCTCTTCTCTAATCTGAAGAGGTAGTCACATTACTGTAAATTCTTTCATAGGGAAAAGGCTGATCAGAAAGCAGATGAGGAAGCCTATGAAGGAGAAATCCAAGCGGAACTCCGCGAAGTGCTGGAAGAGCACCGGGCAGACTATGAGCAGCGAATGGAAGAGTACAGAGCTGCACATCAGCGGTGGAAAGACTGGAAGAAAGCCCAGGTTTGTGCACGGGGGCTCAGCCGTGACAGGGCTGACCTCAGGGATGGGAGGCCCAGGTCCCTGGGACTCCAGGAGGGTAAGGGGGCTAGGAGCTGGAGTCCCCCACTGGCTTTGCTCTTCTCCCTCTGATCCCCACTAGAGGACAGAAAGAACATCTCATGGACTCCCAGGAGAACAGACAAATATGTCTTAGAAATGGTGCAGCCAGAGCGCTCCTTGGAAGGCAAAGATGGCAACACTTTGTTTTTCATACTTTGGCCTTGTTGCTAGGAGAGGCTACTCCTCCGGGAACAATATCATGTTTGAAAAGGTGGAGGGAGGGTCAGTGAGAGGAAGACTTCCAACAAGATGGGTTGACACAGTGACTAGAGCAATGGGCTCAAGGGGTCAGAGATGGTGAGAACGGCACAGGATAGGACAAGGTTCAGATCTGGTTTTCATAGGGTCACTATGAATCATACTCAGCTCTAGAGCACCTAACAAAAACAGTCAACACCTGGCATTAAAAAGCCTGGTGGCCTAGTGGTGAGCACGTGTGCTCCAGTTCTCCTTCTTCTTCTTCTTTTTTTTTTTTTGTTTTGTTCTTAATCCATTTTTATTGGATTTTGTTTTCATATTGTTGAGGTGTTTTTTAATTGAGATTTTAATATAAGTTTATAAAAAACATGGATTTCCATTCATTCACTGTTGCACATTTTTCTCCCTGACCTCCCTCAGTTTGTTTTTTTCTTTAGAAAAAAGTTCTTTCATTGTTATACAGTTCCCCCCACAGACCAATTTACTATGCAACTCTTATTCTGGACTCTTGTCATGCCAATAATACCTAATCATATATTCTTTTTATGCAGTTCTCTCCCTTGTCTGTTTCAATGCCGTGTACATTATTTATCCCCTCTTTTCTTAGTTTCCCCTCAACCTCCTTGTCAGTCCTGTTTTATAACAGTGGCATTATACAGTATTTTTCCTTTTGTGACTGAGATATTTCACTCAGCCAATCCTTCTTGAAGGCACACAGCTCAAATCCACCAGCTGCTCCACAGGAGAAAGATGGGAAAGCTCATCCATGTGATTAAACTGCTTCTGAAAACCCACTGAAGGGTCAGCTGTGGGTTGGTTCCAAGATGACACTACATAACAACAACATCTAGCTGATAAGAAAGCCAACACTGTAAATAGTTATTGTTAGGTGCCACTGACTACGACTCATTGTGACCTGAAAAACACCAAACCAAAACCTGCTGGCTTGTGCTGTCCTCATGATCCCTACCGAGCTCTAGCCCATTGCTTCAGTCACTGCGCCAGTCCATCTCTTTGAGGGTCTTTTCTCAGTCGCCAACTCTCTGTGTTTCCAAGTACGATGGCTTTTTCCAAGGACTAGCACCTTCTGACCAAAGGCCCAAGTTTTGTCCATAAATAATGCGTTACGACGGCACTCTGTTAACTATCTGCATAAACAGCCAAGCAACAACAGCTATTGTTATTGTGTATTACTAGTTGCCATGAAATCAACTCTAAGGCGTGGCAACTCACATGTCAGAGTAGAAGAAGGGTCCACAAGGCAACTAGTGAGGTTTTTTTTTTAATTAATTTACTAATTTTAATGAAAGTTTACAGAGACTTAGGGTTTCCAGTCATTCATTGTTGCACTTTTCTCCATGCCCACCCCTTCCCCTCCAATTCACTCTTCTCCTTGAAAAGAAAAACTCTTTCATTGTTATGCAATCCCTCCCCCCAAGTTCATTCCACAATGCAGCTTTCACTCTAGACTTCTGTAATGACAAGAAGACCCATTCATATATCCCTTTTAAACAGATCTCTCCCTCATCTGTTTCATGCAGGATACATCATTTCTAGGGAGAGATTTTTAAGAAGTACATCACCAGCCCATTCTTCTAAGATGTCCATTATACATCTAAACCTCTACATTTTGGTCAGCAGTCTAACATGTTAGCCATTTGTACTATATCTATTGTTGTTGTTTGTTTTTATGTACTGTCCAGTCACTTGCATCTCAGAGAAATTCTATGTACAACAGTTCTGAACCCTGCTCTATCCTGAGCCAATTTCATTATCACTGACAGATTACACCATTATTCCAGTCACTGAGTCAATCTGTCTCCTCCAGGGTCTTCCTTTCTTGAGCTGTCCATCCACTCTTCCAAGCGTGATGTTCTTCTCCAAGGACTGGTCCCACCTGGCAATGTGCTCAAAGAATGTGAGACAGAGCTTCAAACTCCTTACCTCCAAGGAGGAGCTTTGTTTCACCCTCTCTACGACATGTGTTCGTTCTGTTAGCAGTGCCTGCTGTGTTCAATACTCTTCTCCATACCACAACTCAAAGGCACTAACTGTTCTTCTATAATCCTTAGTCATTATTCAGTTCTCTGATGAATAGCAAACAATGGCTTGGATCAGGTGCAACTTAGTTGCTAGACTGATATCATTGCTCTTCAGTACTCTGGAGAGGTCTCTGACAGAAGATTTTCCCAAAGCAATATGTCTTTTCCTTTCCCAGCTGCTGGTATCAAAAGTGTATAGGATACTGATACTATATTTCTGGATTATCCTTTCTATATGATACAACACACCCAGAATCATGCAAAACTCAATTCAGCTAACACTGGATCAATGTGACCTACAGTACTGATTTTGCTGCCAACCCTAAGACTCACGAGTCAGTACCATTATTAAAGCTCCTTCCACAGAACAAGTACTGTGTTAACTGCTTTACTCACATTACCTCAGAGCCCTAGTGGAGTAATGTGTCAGACTGGTAACTGAAAGGTCAATGGTTCAAACTCACCAGCTGCTCTGAAGGTGAGGACGGGTAGTCTATTCCTGTAAAGATTCACAGCCTCACCACAACAAGATAAAAGTAAACAATCCAATTGAAAAATGGGCACAGGATATGAATGGACACTTCACCATAGGAGACATTCATATAGCCAACAAGCACATGAAGAAATGTTCAAAATCCCTAGCTCTAAGAGAGATGCAAATCAAAACAGCTATGAGATATCAGCTCACCCCAGTAAGAATAGCAAAATTTAACAGAACAGCAAGCAACAAATGCTGGC